GGGACTGGGCTGCTGTCTTCCTCACAGTTCTCATGCGACTATCCAGACGCTCCTGAACCTCAGCTGCGGTCCACCGCTCAGGTGCCTTCAGCTGGAATGACATGGCAAGACTGGGGTCGGGACAGTGATTAATGAACATCATGACCACTTCAGCACTGGGGTTCTCTACAGACCTGCCTTGCCTCCGGAGGCACTCGTCAGCAGCACCGATGGACTTAGAAGTCTTTCATGGGCAAGTTGGAGAATGACAGCTCACTAAAGTTACCTTTCAATATGTCAAACACAGCCGTGGGTAGGTCAGTCGCACTCAGTTCAGGGCGGCTGTGGAGCGACACCTTCACCACGTCCCTAGCTTTGCCTGTTAGTCTTGACATTATCAGGTCAAACATTTCAGCATGAGTATCACATTTAACCCTATTCAGGTAACATCTCATCATGTCCTCCCATTCATGAACAGAGAACGCATCAGCATGATCACCCCTGAAGAAAGGCGGGGCCTTGGCCTCAGACTGCACAATGACCTTCAAGTGTGATAAACCAGCATGACTGGATGACTGACTCGTAGGAGACTGAGGCTGGACGATACTGGGCTGGTGCATAGTGCTAAGGCTGGCTGAGATGTTATCACCAATCTGTTTAGCCAAATCTGTAATCATATCCCCAAAAGTCTCAACAGAGATGACTTGTGTAGGCTTCTGGTCTGACTGGATAATTGGCGTGGAAGTAGCAGTGGGGGCCAATGGTGGGTCAACAACTGACTGATCAACTGTGTAGTTGAGAACACTGGGTGACCCAGACCTACCCCTGCCATAACACAGTGAAGAAATCTGCTGACCCCCTCCCCACCCCAAAGGTGACATCCCACCCATGACCAGCCATAGTATGCACCTTAAAAGTATCTTCCCCGGACATTACAAAGGAAGAGCAATACTGGCAGAAACAGGAGAAAAAAATAAATAAAATAAAATAAAATAACACCTTAAACTGAAAACACACTATAAACAGCTATGTACAATTCAACAGTATGAGCCTAGCATGGCATAGTATAAACAAGGAGCATAAAAACCCCATAAGGCAACTAAAATTATATGTGCATAACCACTTATATGGGATGACAGGGAAATGTTGCAACACTGATGCAAAACAAATAGGCCCACAGAATACTTGACCAATAAAAATTATTAATTAACCTGTCTTCATTAGGATCATTATGTCTTCTTATTCCATATACAGTACAGTTTATTCTTAATTTTTCCCTTCAAGTGTCTCTTCAATGCACTGGCTGGCCACAACAGATTAACCAGCATAAACCAAAAAGAAGTAAAATCAGGAGAGAAGATGGAAAGAAAAAAAAATTTTTTAAATAAATAAATATATATATATATATATATATATATATAGCTGTATATACACTTAAAAACAGTGCATGAGGGTATCTTTAATCCTTTAACTGCCTAACGCACCTCGCGTGCGCGCGCACTCGGGAGCGAGCGCAGTTCCGCGCAGCCACAGAGCGGGGGAGCAGGAGAGAGGAGCCAGGTGTCAGCAGGTGTACCCCGGGGATCAGACGGGCGCTGATCGGAGATGCTACGGGTCGTCACGGCACCAAGTGTAACCGGTTAGTTTCTGGCGTTGTCTGCGTTGTGTTTTGTTTTGAAGAGGCCCAGACCAGGATATCTTTGGAGGCGATCTCCGTTTATTCTGACAAAGGTGTAAATAACAACAATATCATCCGGCCAGTTGTTATCAACGTGAGCTCCTCTCCCATGGAATACAACAGCAAAAGGGGGAGAGTCAAAAGCGTGAGACACATTTATAGGGGGGGGACCCACGAAAGTGAACGTCGGGGTACAGAAACTGTGTCTCAAACGTTCCACGTATTGACTCAGCAGGCCGGACATGTCAGGTTATAACTATTAAAACAGATTTTGTGTAATTATAATACTACATATTACTGTTATATATTTGACTCTGTTACACATATTACTGCTGTATAATTGACTCTATTACACTTGGCTGTTTTGTAAGAAAGTGATGTTGCAGTGAACCTTTTTTTTTCTTCTGTTGTAATCAGTTAAGAAAATATACTTGCTGGAGTAAATGAGCATTATTATTTAGTTTTATTGTTATTATTTACACCATGTCCACTTAAAGTACTTGATGTTGTTTGTACAGAATTAAAACACTAATTCCTGTCTACAAAACAGTTCAGTTTTATGTTGGACTGTGTTAGACTTTCAATGAAGAGAAAATATTTATTAACAAAGACAACAATGTTTCTGAAATAAAGTGCTCAGTGTTGATTACTAATTTCATAACACACCCTAAAATGTACTAAAAGACAATATTCAATCTATGAAGTAATTATATTAATATCTTTAACATCAATTGATTTTATTTTTAATGGAACCTGTTTGAATAATATTGTTAATGATTAATATATTTATTTATTGAAATTAGTGATGCAATGACACTGAAGCAACTGAATGTTCCCAGTTATAGTTGTAAATAGAGGAAGTAGTTTTTGTATGACTCTCCTGTTATTGTCTCTCACTGTGTCTCTGGCACAGTAATACACTGCTGTGTCCTCGGTCTTCAGACTGTTGACCTCGAGGTACTGAGTGCTGCTGGACACATCTTCAGTCATGATGAAACGACTTTGAAAGGAGCTGGAATAGCTAGCAGAGTTTGAACCTGCATCCATCCTCCCAATCCACTCCAGAGCTTTCCCTGGCCTCTGTCTTATCCAGTGAATATAGTAGCTTGTCATGTCAAACCCAGATATGATACATGACATCTTCACTGTCTCTCCAGGTCTTTTCACCTCAGAGGGAGTCTGGTCCAGTTTGATCTCACTCCAAACTCCTTTAAGTAAAGAATTATATGTGTCATACATAATATATTAAACATTACATTTTATTATATCAGAATTGATTTTCTTACCATGAATAGCCATTAGAAATATTAGACTCCAGACACTCATATTTTCCATTCTATAGTAAATTGTGGAGTTCACTGATTTCTGATCAAAGTCTTTCTAGGATTTATAAGACTGTGTCAGTTGTCCTGTCTAAAATGATTTCACAGTTGCTGTTGGTGTGTTTATAAAGAAGGAAGAGTTTGCATAGACCTCCCTCTACAGGATTAAAAAGGGAAGATAGAAGATTGATGCACTTTAACTGAATATTTGAACAACAGGAAAAAATACAAGGCATTGCACTGTAAACATACTACATGTAAATGCAACCAGGTGGTAAAAGCAAAAGCTCAAGTATACGGGATATTTAGGAAATTAAACCTTTGTAAATAAAATGCTCTGTAAGTAGAGGTGGAAGACATGTGAGTTTTGCATGAACTCCTCTATGCTTTGTGTTGTCCAGTCATATTTTCACTATATTTGATCATATTCTTGCCCAGTTTTTACTTTTACTTTATTCAGTCTGACAATACAATGAAATCAACATGAAACAGACTTCCTGTAAAGGATGATGATTTACAGTTTTTACTCATTCTCTCAAAAATCAACAGAAACACTTCCTTCCTTACTGGATATCAAATATACATCATTTTATTATTTTAAATGTGTTTCACCACAAAGATTTAGTTAGTTTGCTGAAACTGAACAATGCATTTTCACTATAGGACTCACTGTCGACTGTGACTCAAAGTAGAATAATTATTTATTGTATTGTATGATGATTGCCAGAAAGACACTATATATATTTCCAATATGACAATAAACTAAACTAACAAACTCTTATATACTTAACATCTAATCCTGTCCTACCTGACAACAAACAAACTGTACTGAACATACTCAAAGCTTAAATTAAAAATGATTAACATTTCTTTATATAGGTTTTACAGCAAATTTACAGTAACAACTTTCTTAAAAAGAGAAAATTTAAATTCTACTTCTCTATATTTGCAAATTAAAATGAACATTTAATCAAATGAGATAAAATAAAACTGAAATATTCAAATAGAGGAAGTAGTTTTTGTACGACTCTCCTGTTATTGTCTCTCACTGTGTCTGTCGGGCACAGTAATACACAGCAGAGTCTTCAGGCTGCACATTCTGTCCGTTTACAGTCACTGTGTTACTGGAAGAGTCTAAGTCGATACTGAACTTGTTCTTCAGTGAATCTTTGTAATATGTGGTGGATCCAACTCTCATTCCAATCCACTCCAGTCCTTTCCCTGCAGGCTGTCTGATCCAAGCTGTGTAGTAGCTGCTCAGAGAATAAGAGACCTGACAGGTGATGGTCAGACGTTGACCTGGCTGCACAGTCACAGAGGCTGGCTGTGTCAACTGTTCACACTTCACACCTGTTAAAAAAGAAAATGTTTTGTAACAAATGATCAAGTTATACTCTAAAAGAAGAACTGCTGACTTTGACAAATCCAGAGAGACTCACATCCAGCTGCCAACAGCAGCAGCAGAGCTACAGAGAACATGGTTTATGTTGAAACTGACGTGCTGTGAACTCCACTGACAGCCTGATGGGAAGTTTTTATAGCTGAGTAACAAGGAAGGTCACTGAGTTTGCATAGAATCAAACATATGAAGCATCAATGTTGGTCTAACTGGAGCCAATAGAAGAGTCTGTTGACTGTTATTATATCTGCAGAATGAAAACATGACTGAAATCACCTCTGCTTTACATATGATATTTTAACTTCATTACACACTCAACTGTAACATTTTGGAAATGAAACTTTTAGATTTTACATTTAGAGTTACAGAAATGAAACAACTGTAAACTCTGCTATTATTATGAACTATTACTGTCTAAATCTTTACTATTAAAACATTTGATAATTTTTTCTATAATTACAAACAATAACCAGGATAATTATTCTTAATATGAATATTAACATGAATCATGGATAATGGAAAACATATTCATTCAAATCCACATTGCAATAACCATGATGACACACTTTGAATATGACGTGAATTGTTTTCCAGAAAGAATTTATTTACAGTCAGCACCTCCTTCATCACATTCATTGTTAACTTCAAACGTACAGTATGAGGATAATAAAAAACAAAATGGCTGTTGTAATATCGCAGCATTAATTTATTCATTAATTTGCTCACTGACTGTACTTACTGACTGTATCTGCTTCAAACAGAAATACAGTGACAGCAGTGAGGACCATGTAAATAATATGAGAACTGTCTGCAGCTTTGCATTAAAGACATTTAACAGTTTCCATGTTTGCAGATGTTTGAAGACGACTTAGAGCCTCGAGAGGAAAACAGCTGCTCAGGAACTGAAACCTGTGAGACAAAATGCAAAAAACAAAATCTTTTGGTAGTTCATAACTTACCTTTTGTAATTGACACCACATTTTAACTGTATCTGTGTGTTGTAGCAGGAATAAAATAAACAGTCAAATATCATGCAGTGTGATTTATATGTTTTTGTTTCTTGTGTTATTGGTTTGTTAAATTATTGTGTTTATTTCTAAATAAAATGTGTAAAGGAACAGGTTTGTTGCCAGCCATGGAGATGTAGCTGCCTTTTATCCCTAAATAACTACAGTATATTGCTTGTTTTATTGCATCAACCTGTCAACATTACTCATGAAATAGAACTTTAAATCCAGTCATACATAAGTGGTAATCAGATGTTTGTGTCAGGGGTCTCAAGCTCAAAGAGGCTTCAACATTCAAGTAGTACAAGAAAGTGCAATATTCTGAAAATATTTCCATTACGAACATCATAACAAAATGTAAACATCAGTTTCTGTACATTTTTATAATCATTTTTGTTGTTTGCAGAACAACAAATAAAGCCCTGGAACCTGCTCTCTTGTTCTCAGTTATATTTTTGTATTATTGACATCATGTGCAGGGAGGGGGGTGGAGGGCTGGGTATCTCAGCGGTTTGAGATCTTTGGTCTGTGTCTTCTATTGTTTTGATTTCCCTTTGAGGTCATCAATCATGTGACACAGTGCAGGGTCTTTCAGCCCAGTGAGGATGAGACAAGATAGTTGTTCACTGATCACAATATCCAGTGTACATGAGCGCTCATGTATCAACAACAGATGTGAGAGTTAGGGCAATGAGATTGTGTTATACATCACGTCATATGCATGTTGACATGTTAAACGTCAAATGCAGTTTAGTTTGGTAGCAAACTACGCTTTGGTCTCAGTCACTTCTTGTAAGCATACTGTTATATAAGAACAGGAAGGGCTGCTATGCTTTAAGCTGCTAATTTATTTGTTAATTTCTCTTAATGACTTTACATGAACATTACTAGTGAGACTATATATGTGTTCATATCCATATATGAGAAAACCCAGAAGAGAAGAAGATCACACTGCTGTTTGTTGTCTGTGGAGGTTTTTGTGCAGCTGCTCCACTGTCTTCAGTCACTGTGTCTCTTCGAGCACAGAAGTAAACAGCAGAATCTTCTGCTGTCAGGCTGTTGACCTCGAGGTACTGAGTGCTGCTGGGTACATCTTCAGTCATGATGAAACGACTTTGAAAGGAGCTGGAATAGCTAGCAGAGTTTGAACCTGTGTTCATCCTCCCAATCCACTCCAGAACTTTCCCTGGTCTCTGTCTTATCCAGTGCATGTAGTAGCTTGTCATGTCAAACCCAGATATGATACATGACATCTTCACTGTCTCTCCAGGTCTTTTCACCTCAGAGGGAGACTGGTCCAGTTTGATCTCACTCCAAACTCCTGTAAGTAAAGAAATTGTGATCATTATCCAATGAATCTGTTAATCACCGGTTGGACATTTAGAAAAGATGTAAAGCAGAACTGATTCTCTCACCCTGAATAGTAACGACAAATAATAAACTCCAGATCATTGTATTTTCCATTCTGAGATAAACACTGTAGTTCAGTGCTCTCTGATCTGAGTGTTTCAGTAAATATATAAATCTGTCCCAGTGTTCTTGCTGATGGAGTGTTTATAAGAGAGGAAGAGTTTGCATAGACCTTCCTCTAAAAAGGGAACATGTGACAGATATATTTTCATACGCTGAGTATCTCTGCAACAGCAGAGAAAACTTTATATTGACTTCAATGATTGTGTAGATACAGTGTTGATACATAAAGACTAAATCTGTGAGAAAGTGTTTGACTGTGACGAGAGAGTGAGTTTAAAACAGAGACACCAACATTAAAGATGTTTTTCAGTCTTTCTCCTTTTTCTGTGTGTTTGTCAGTTTTCACATTTCCATTTTTGAGAGACAGAGAGTAAGAATATGTTGTCTCATACACTTTTATTTCAAAACTGATCCTCATCTCAATGAGGTGGATTACTGCTGAGAGAGGAAACATGTGGAAGTAAGACATTTTCCTCCAATAAATTAGGAAGTGAACATTTGTCTAATTGCAGTATCACTTACTCATTCAACTTTCAACAAACACAAGAATAAACAGCAGCTCCTTCAGTCTTTATTTTGAAACATCTTTGAAATGGTGATCTACAACTATAAATGAACACATGAAGCTGCAGTCACTGCTGATCCAGCACTTCAAATGTTCTATTAGTGTTGTGGTGAAGCGAGCTCACAAAGGGTGTGAGTATAAAACTCTAGTTCAGTCCAGGGTTTGAGTGTCAGTCAGTTGAGACCAGTGAGATAAGCAGATATGAGAGTTTCCTTATAGTGACAGAGGAGAGAGAAAGTTGACACTGACTGCCATCTAGTGTTTTTATAACGGGAACTGCAACATTATTTTTCCCTCTCATAATTGTGACTTAACCAAATCATATAAACCTTAATTCTTAAATCCCACTGATCCAAGAGGTAAAATAATAATTATCTGTTTCTTTTCAGATTACATTTACTGCATAACTAATGTTTTCAAAAGAACATTTTTCTGGCTGTGTCTTACAGTAGTTTATTATTGGCTCCCAGGGACCCCAGTCAGTACTCCTGATATGTTCGAATGACGGTTAATATGCCTGAAATGTGTACATGTAATATTTATTTGATTCATTTTTTGGACAATGATTTCAACCGATTGTTGTGCTGCCCTTGGCTGTTTTGTGAGGAACTGATCATTAAAACATTTTATTTTTTTATGATTTATGTTGGTGGTTAATAATAATCTTTCAGTTTCAGAAAAAAGCACTAGTACAGGAGGTTTTTGTATGACGTTGCTCCTTCCTGTGTCACTGTGAGTCTCGAGCACAATAATAAACAGCAGAATCTTCAGTCTTCAGACTGTTCATCTGCAGATACAGCTGCTGTCTGCTGTTGTCTCTGGAGATGGTAAACCGGCCTTGAACTGACTGAGAGAGTAGAGTTTGCTGCTACCACTACCACTCTGAATCCTGGAAACCCACTCCAGTCCTTTCCCAGGAGCCTGTCTGATCCAGTGCATATAGTAGTCACTGAATGTGAATCCAGAGGCTGTACAGGTCAATCTGTGAGATTCTCCAGGCCTTTTAACCACTGGTTCAGATTCTGTCAGAGTCTGACCATCAACACCTGTCAAAATGAAAAAATATATACAGTGGTCAGTTGCTTTAAGCTGGAAGCAGTTTACAAACAACTTCAACTAAAGATCAGTGAAGATGTTCACCTGCCCAGCAGATAGTTAACAGCAGCAGTCCTGTCCTATAGTCCATCATGTTAAACTGTGTGTCCACTGTTCTCTGTCATCCTCTCTGCAGTCAGATAAGTAGAGGTGAGTTTTGCATTGACTCCTCCTCACAGGGAGGAGAGAGCTGGGTTGGAGTTTTTGTAATTGATCCTTACTTGTTGAACTGAGCAGTGTACTGTGCTCAACTCTCATCAAAACTCAGCTTGGGTCCAGTGTTTAACATTTAGGAGGATCTATTGGCTGAAATGGAATATAATATCCATAGGTGTGTTTTCATTCGTGCATTAGTGCAGTGTATTTCATGCATTTGAATAAATAAACAGTCGCTCCTTCAGTCTTCCAGCTGTTTATCTGGAAATCTCTTTGAGATGGTGGGATGGTGAACTCCAAACTAAATGAACAAATGAAGCTGCAGTCACTGCTGATCCAGCACTTCAAATGTTCTATTAGTGTTGTGGTGAAGGGAGCTCACAAAGGGTGTGAGTATAAAACTCTAGTTCAGTCCAGAGTTTGAGTGTCAGTCAGTTGAGATCAGTGAGATAAGCAGATATGAGAGTCTCCTTATAGTGACAGAGGAGAGAGAAACTTGACACTGACTGCCATCTAGTGTTTTTATAATGGGAACTGCAACATTATTTTTCACTCTCATAACTGTGACTTAAACATCAGACAAACATTAACCTTAAATCCCACTGATCCAAGAGGTAAAATTGTTTTCAAATCTCAAAGGGGCTTTATTCTATCATTCCAATTTTTCAATGTTTTGTCAATCAGTTTTTATTTATTGACTTAATATCATTCATTGTATGTATTTATGTTATTTTATGTTTGCAATAAACTTAATTTGTGCCATTGGTCCTAATTTGAAGTATCATACTATCAGATGTAGTCTGTCTTTCTTAGTTATACCCAATATGCCAATTAACTGTAGCTTTCCCAAAATAATGATTATCTGTTCCTTTTCAGATGACAATAACTGCATAACTAATGTTTTCAAAAGAAAGTTAACATTTTCATGGCTGTCTCTTGGAGTAGTTTATTCTTGGCTCCCAGGGAACCCAGTCAGTACTCTTGATATGTGCGGTTGAGGGTTAATCTGCCTGAAATGTGTACATGTAATATTTATTTCATTAATTTTTAGACAATGATTTTAACCAATTGTTGTGCTGCCCTTGGCTGTTTTGTGAGGATCTGATTATTAAAACATTATTTTTTTTAATTATTTATGTTGGTGGTGATTAATAATCTTTCAGTTTTCTAAACAAATAGAAAAAGCCCAATAAAGATAAGTACTGGAGGTTTTTGTACAGCGTTGCTGCTTCCTGTGTCACTGTGAGTCTCGAGCACAATAATAAACAGCAGAATGAATGTTTACTGTACATTAGTCATTCCTCCAAGAGTCCCTCTTACATGTTTCAGTATAATTTGTGCAACAGGTTGACAAACACGTTATTTAAGTTGGTTGACCCTTATTAAAGACCACATTATAGACCACAGTCTGCATCATGTGGAGACCTTGACAATAGGTTATTAATTTTACCATACACCTAAAGTGAGTATTTTTATTTACATTTTAATGTAAAGAAATATCAGTTATGTTTTAGTTCATTATGTTACAATGTTGAATTTCTCACAAGAAAATATATTTTAAGTTTTCATGAATCATGCTATTTTCAAGACTTAAGGGACCAAAAACCCAAGTAGCAATAAGAGTAAAGAATACATTTGAGAATATTAATTAAGCATTGAACAGGAATAGCATGTAAATCTTCAGTACATGGATGTCATTAATACCCATGTTTTTCAGTCAATGTAAATACATTCCATGATTTACATTTCTGAGGCAGACAGAGAAAAAATCTTTTGTAAAATGCCTCCACTGTATGTTTGTTATTATCATTATTATATATTATAATTATTTTTTTTCTTAATTCTTATCATATCTGTTTCTGTCTTTACTGTAACAGTGAACTGGTGTTGAAATCATTAGTGGTCTGAGGGCTCCTCCTCTGGTGGCTTCATGTTACAAGTTTTCAGGCACTGAGGGGTTTTTGTTCAGGTCTACTGATGGTTTGTGTTATTGTGTCTCTCTGGCACAGTAATACACAGCAGAGTCTTCAGGCTGCACATTCATTCCGTTTAGAGTCACTGTGTTACTGGAAGAGTCTAAGTCGATACTGAACTTGTTCTTCAGTGAATCTTTGTAATATGAAGCTGAAGTATGTTTCATTCCAATCCACTCCAGTCCTTTCCCTGCAGGCTGTCTGATCCAAGCTGTGAAGTAGCCCAGGGAATAAGAGAGACTTGACAGGTGATGGTCAGACGTTGACCTGGCTGCACAGTCACAGAGGCTGGCTGTGTCAACTGTTCACACTTTACACCTGTTAAAAAGAAAATGTTTTGTAACAAATGATCAAGTTATACTGCAAAAGAAGAACTGTTGACTTTGACAAATCCAGAGAGACTCACATCCAGCTGCCAACAGCAGCAGCAGAGCTACAGAGAACATGGTTTATGTTGAAACTGACGTGCTGTGAACTCCACTGACAGCCTGATGGGAAGTTTTTATAGCTGAGTAACAAGGAAGGTCACTGAGTTTGCATAGAATCAAACATATGAAGCATCAATGTTGGTCTAACTGGAGCCAATAGAAGAGTCTGTTGACTGTTATTATATCTGCAGAGTGAAAACATGCCTGGAAATCACTTCTGCTTTACATATGATATTTTAATTTCAGTACACACAATATTTTTTTGAAATTTTACATTTTTATTAACTGTAAACATTTAATGTCTAAATGTATTGTATTACAATAATCTTGTATTAAACATTACGTAAATTCTACAATTATAGCAAACCATATTTATTGATCATTATTGCTAATCTCAATGTGAATATTATCACAACTCATTGATGATTGAATAAAAAAAAAAATCAGCATTGCAATAACAATGATGATGTGCACCCATTAAATAAAATGGATGAAAAATGTTGCTTTCTATGAGCCGTGTTTACAGTGTGTTTATCATGTTTTTAAATAATGAAAACACACTTTAAATGTGATGTGAGTTATTTTCCTGAGAGAATTTATTCACTGTCAGCACCTCCTTCATGACTTTCAT